CGGATTTGTGAGTAGCACACATGATATCATACTGGGTGTCTACAAGGCGTGTCTCTCATTTTGTACCCCCTCAGCGACTGCAGTCTTATTGGGTTATCTGGGGGTCAGTCGGGTAGCCTAGTGGTTAAAGCATTCGTTTGTCACTCCGTTCACAATGTGTGAAGCCCATTTCTGGTGTCCCCAGCCATAATATTGCTGGAATATTGCTAAAAGTGGCGTAAAACCATACTTACTCACTCTTATCGCGGCATTGGTGGCTGAGAAACTGATGACCATTGGTTTGAATCCTGGTTCACCCTGTTTATGTATATAGATTTATGAGCACCATACATGTGTTAGTGGGTTTCACCAAGGTGGTAAATGTCTAAGACCTTAGGTGTACCAGAATCCTTAGATTGGGTTGGAATCCAAGATTCTGTCTGATTACAATTCTTGATTTGTCAGCTCCATACACTTGCTCATCGCTGAACTAACATTGTAATTGTCTGTCAAACCGTAGGTTTTCCTTCAACATTATGCTGACATACCATGATGACATTCATTTGTCTGGTCCAAACTCCAGAGACCTGTGATAATGTGTGAGGAAAACCAGCATTCGAACCCACTAACATGACACGCCATGATATAACTGGGGTACTGTTCAAAGCAGCATTAAACCAACCCAACTCACTCCCTCAACTATTTTACAGGTTGCCTTCATAGTGGGATTCAAACAACAAACAAAATACTGTTGAAACACTTTTAATACCAAAACACTCACTCTCACATTTTAAAACTTGTGTCACTCATGAAACTCCATCCCCCCCTAAAGATGACACGTGGCAATGTTAGTTACTGTATGCTAAATTGTTCAATGATCAAACTCTGTGAGTCAGGTCATCCAGACAAACATGTAGTTTGCTCGAAATATTACTTGAATATTGGAGGTATTATGTTTCCTCTGATCAGGACAGACCAATCCTGTTCTTGTTTCACAAAAAAAACTACTTAGTATGACTCAAACTTAAGAATGCATTTTTATTGAAAATTTACTTATTTAAAGAACATTTTCTTTTAAGAAAATTATTAAAACTTGAATTGTGAGTTTTTTGAGAAAAAGAATTAATTTTGGACTACTATATAAAAATGTGTATCTCCTGTGCCTATCCATATTGGACAAGAAACTCCTAACAAAAAACATGAATTGCTATGTCCTATGCAGTATACTTAGAGAGTTGCCTGTGATCTAATAGGGAGTTACTGTACCATGACGGTTACTGGTTTGCGGGATGCTGGCGATGTTATCATGTTCACTGAAACAGGACTGCAGATAATGCTGCGTCAACTATCATTGTCCATACTGCCATTATCAAATTTTCTGGAACAGTTGCCCGCCCACCTCATATTGCTACTGCTTTACTGAACACAATGTACACAGTCATTTAGTAAACACTGAATGTGACAATGTTTGTATCGGTGACACACAACAAGGACTGTGTGGAACACTTGACAGCGCCTTCACAGCTTCTAACCCTGAATGTTATTAGATATGTTGTTGTTGGTGGTGGATATCTAGTGATTCAGTGATACCTGGATGTGAATAGGCAGGTAACACAGGTGTGTAAGGACCCTTGTAGTGAATAGGCAGGTAACACAGGTGTGTAAAGACCCTTGTAGTAAATAGGCAGGTAACACAGGTGTGTAAGGACCCTTGTAGTGAATAGGCAGGTAACACAGGTGTGTAAAGACCCTTGTAGTGAATAGGCAGGTAACACAGGTGTGTAAAGACCCTTGTAGTAAATAGGCAGGTAAAACAGGTGTGTAAAGACCCTTGTAGTGAATAGGCAGGTAACACAGGTGTGTAAGGACCCTTGTAGTAAATAGGCAGGTAACACAGGTGTGTAAAGACCCTTGCAGTAAATAGGCAGGTAACACAGGTGCGTAAAAGTCCCTTGCAGTAAATAGGCAGGTAACACAGGTGCGTAAAGACCCTTGTAGTGAATAGGCAGGTTACACAGGTGTGTAAAAGTCCCTTGCAGTAAATAGGCAGGTAACACAGGTGTGTAAAGACCCTTGTAGTGAATATGCAGGTAACACAGGTGTGTAAAAGACCCTTGCAGTAAATAGGCAGGTAACACACAGGTGTTGAGTGATTGAGGCAACACAGGTGTGTGTTGTTGGTTTGTTGTTTAACGCCGCATTCAGCAATATTCCAGCAATATGACTGCAATCTGTAAATAACCGAGTTTGGACCAGACAATCCAGTGATTGACAACATGAGCATCGATCCACGCAATTGGGATACGATGACATGCATCAACCACGTCAGCGAGTCTGACCTCCCGATCTGTTAGTCGCCTTTTATGGCAAGCATGGGTTGCTGAAGACCTATTCTACCCCGGATCTTCACGGGTCGTGTGTGATGTGATCTCATTAACACGGGTGTAGAGTGATGTTGGGGACACAGGTGTTTATGATGATATTGGTGAGCCAAGAAGAGATATCGGTTGGGGGTACACTCATCTGCAGTATCATATCACATTGATAAACATCCATTGGAGTGTTTTAGTGTCACAGGAGATTGCCAAGTGGGCTGATCATGAGCATATCTTGTTCATGTTGTCTTTATATGCTAATGAAGTTGTTATCTGATGTTTGCAATTCAAGTCAGTAGCATATCAGACTGTATTGTGGACTGTTACTCCTGAACAGGATGACAGTGATCTGATTGTTTGGTGATCTACATGTTTATGTGCTGTGTTGAGCATGTTGAGTGTATGGAGGCGTAACTGCGTCTAGTCACCACCCAAGGCCATGTTCACAAAGGGGCTATTTACATTTGAGGGTTTACAGATTTTTGTGTGAAAATACTGAACTGTAGGGAAGGACAGATTTATTTCTCTCTCAATTTTTCCTATATTAGGGTGAGACGTGATAATAAAATCAGTGTTTAAAGATATCTCACCTTGATTCCCAAATGTATTGCAAGGACACACCTTCCCAAGGCAAGGGAGTTAACTGATTTTAAAAGTCCAGTTTCCACCCTTGCTAAACTAGGCCGGTATTATGGAGCTACATTTTGGCTGTACTGACGAGTCTATGCATAGTCCAATCAAATTCGCATAATGAAATCAACATCCGTTTTATAAACTGTCATGCATATTTCGGTCAAATACAGGATTTGCAAAGCTTGTGCACCACCAACTCGGTGTCAATACCTATTTTCCAAATCTTTTTATGTTTTTAATCAAGGTGCTCACTTCATTTGATCCACTTTGCGATGTAAGACCCGTTTTGTCAAAATATATATCTTAATTGTCGATCAGATCATCTTGGCTGGGCTGCCATTTTGTTTGAAGCAAATGCAAGTGACATGAGAGGTGGAATCTGACTGGTCAATAGTAGAGGCTACGATAATAGTAGAGGCTAGAGGTAGTGCTACGAGAAAGCCCAGAAATTCCTGCCTGGTTCGACAAGGGTGGAAACTTGACTTTGACAGTCAATTATCTCCCTTTACTTTGGAAGATGGCAAGGCCATTGCTGGTGTTTGTGCGGACAGGCCTTGAAGTTGCTTCATGGTTGGGGGTGGTGGGTTAGCCTAGTGGTTAAAGCGTCCGCTCCCAAGCAACCCATGCTCGCTGCTCATACTGTCGACCACCTGTTTGTCAGGTTCGACATTGTTTGCAGGCTGCTTAAGGGTGTAGTTGGAATATTGCTGACTGCAGCAAATAAGAATCCAATTTGGTCAATATATTGGTAACATCTTTAGCCTGCTACTATTGTATGGGTAACAGCTGCAGGATATCTGTAGTGTATTGTTTATTTAATGGCGATTATACTGCCGGATAGGTATTGTGTTTTGACAAAGTGTTTCAAAGCAAAGATCTTTTTGAGGTTTGTAAGTTTTATAGATTCTGCTGTGATGATGTGGTAAAGTACATGAAGAATTTAGTATCATTTGTTCTAAGGGGGTCGTTCTGTTGCATCTTCTCTGTTCACATTACTTCAGAAAAGCACCTGTTTCATTTCATGAAGCATTTCTGAACACATGCAGCAGCTTATCAACAGAATATAGTTATTACTGTGCAGGTACGATAACCAGCCAACCATAATTAAAGGTTGTCATCAACTGTGACAGGCATGTTTCCAGGCGTAATGTATCACATGACATGAATACATCATGTTATATTACTGTGCAGCTATGTATGGGCGGCCATTCGGTAAAAAAATAGGACAAAAGTATGCAATAATAGTCAATTTTTACGAATAAAATATTCAATGTTACTATAAAGGTCAAAATACAAAACAAAAACAAACACACTCCGGTAAAAAAATACCAAGTTGAAATAAAAGTCAAAAGTATTCAAGATAATAGATGTTACGAAAAGAAAGAATAATGTATACTAAAGAATGTCAGTGCACACGAAAGGACTAAACTGCTAAAGGAGGTTGTAATACATTCCGACTTTAATCAGCTTGTTCCGCTGTGTATATGACAGCTGCATGCGGAGATGCACGATGTCCACAAACAAATAGTGAAGCCAACTCTTAACATGCTTAAAGATAGGAACATGTGCCTATATTTTCTAGTGGTTTTAATATTATGCGTATTACATGTATTTGCAAAATGTATGGAAATATGTCATCTGAAATGCAAAAGCTAAAGATTTGAATGATGGCTTGTTTGTTTTACATCTTACGTGCCATCATCTAAAGTGCACACATGGCAGAAAATTTAAAGAATTGAACATTGTGTGGTATGTCTTTCACATGAGCATGCAACTGAAGTGGAGAACTGAGAAAATACTTTGAAGATTAACAGTCAAGAGTTGCATCCCTTTGCTGTACCTGGCAGGATCAGATGTTTCTGTGTGAGATTCTACTGATCATGCTGATTATCATCCTTGGTTCATCAGCACTCTACCAATGCTTGTGCTTCTCACCACAGTTAGGGATCCCATGTTTGAATGAACTTGACATGATGTGAAACTAGCTCTAGTGCATTCTTGTTCTATTTTCAGTCCATGAAGCCCAAGTCAGGGTTGTTCTGTTTACTCATAACTGATGCAAGGGAGACAACTGCACTAGAGATGCCGGATCATGAAAATTCTTTTGTGATGAAGGTAAGAATAAGATTAACATTTTTGTCATTCAGTGAGGGCCATGATCTGTATTGATTATCATGTGTGTGTTGTAGTTGAATACTTTGATAAAGGAATATTTTATCAGGTGATGGAATTGGGAAAAAGGTATTGTTGATCCTGTCCAAATTAATCTAAATGCAGCAAAACCCATGCATTGAATAATATGATGTCACAAGAGCAGCACAGCAGTATCTGGTAATGGGTATCCATATACTCACCCTGACCGACCTACCCTTTACTCATGACTTCCGTCACAATGACCTTTTCCTCAACAAGAAGCTTATTTAGAGCTGCATCTCTTTGTTTTGCCAGGGGGATATGGGCAGCCCAGTCATCTAAGGCGCCCAGTTAGCCTGTGCTGAGTTGCGTCCCTTTAATATGCCTGAAACCTATGACAGTCGGTTTGAATCAAGATTCGCCTCAATTATATTGCTAGGTTCGTCCGCACCATACGCATGCTCGTGGGTTCACCAAAGCAGTAAATGTCTGAGACCTGAATCACTAGGCTTTTTCCCATATAAAGCTGACAATCTGATATAACTTGAACACTGTTCAAAGTGGTGTTAAACCCTAACTCACACATTCACTCACTGTTTTGCCAGTTAATCCCAAATTTGCCCTGGCTAGAACCTTGCTCATGTTCACCAAAGACATACAACATTTCGGCTTTCCTCCTGCATTGAGGCTGACATCCTGTGATATTACTGTGACCCTACAGAATAAATTAAAAAGGGAGTCCAACTCAGGTCTAGAATGGTATGGCAAGTCTAGATTGCCTCAGCTCTTGGAATGAAATGAAGTATATTTCTCCATTTGGATTCTTTTTTAATTTCATTTTGTTGCCATGTATTTGTAAATAAGATAACTTTATTTCTGGGATGAAATGTCAGTCATGTGACATGGTATTGTGAGGTACACACATATGGAAAGAGGTGTGTGTGAAGAGGTGTCATGTGTGAAGAGGTGTCATGTGTGAAGAGATGTCATGTGTGAAGAGGTGTCATGTGTGAAGAGGTGTCATGTATTTCAGGGAGAAGGCACGATAGAGTATGTGATCGAGGCTTCATCCTATTCTGAGATGAAGAGCTGGCTGGAGGTGGTCCAGGGGGTCATACAGCACAACCGATGTACAGAGGAGGATTCACAGGCCATGTACGTATTCACCTCGTCACCAATATTCTTTCAAATGTCCTCAAATCAGTGTTTACGTTGTGTTCTGATCTTGAGTTGTGTGGTGGCCAAAGAGTGAGCTCATTACACTGAAGACCCCGTTTGGATTCCCCACATGGGATAAAGCAAGAATTGTGCAAATCACCTCACTCTCTTTTGTTTACAGCAGTTCCTGCTTTATCACAAACTTCTGGTTCTGGAAATTCTGGTTGTGAAGTAATCTAGTGTTAGTCACTTGGCATGTTTAACTGTTCTGTTGTGTCTTCATACACTTGAAGTTTCACTCCTGTAAAATGTCTTTTAACTCAGTAAATGGCAGATGTCATTATAGCAATAGTTTGGGCAGACCTAACAGGGTACTGGAGTACTGTTATTCTATAATAATAACATACATTCATCTTTATTGTGTTTATCTTTCAGGAGACCAAGGCTCCCCACAGCCCCTTCGGGGTCAATAGAGAGAAAAGGTGAGATGAGAATTTGTTTTAGTTGTGTAAGACTTTCAGAGGTTTTATACTGTTTTATTGTTAAGTATGAATCTAAGGGGTGACCTATGCTCCTTGATTCTCAGTGTTGAGAATGCTATGCTATGATTATTCTCCTGATATTCATGACCAACACTTGTTTGCCTACATCAATGTAGTACCAGAAACCTTTCGGAAGCCAAGGTTGTTGATACATATTTTATGACTAATTGGGAAGTTAGTGAGCAGCCATTTGATTTTCAGTGGGAAGGAAGGGGACCAGGATTTTCGTTTGAGATCAGCAATGTATTTTAATGACTGCTCAAGATTCAACATATCTGTTTGAAAAAAGTCAATAAAGTGTTTTTTAGATCAAGTGTTGGCTTTGCAGAGGGTCACTGAAGGTGATGTTTCTATTTCATAGAGTCCCCTCCTATCAGTGCCCACCAGCGGAGTTCCTCTCAGGGTTCTATTGGAGCCAACCCACCCGAGGTGCCCCCGCGACCCTCACCACGGCCATGGAGCACCCCCCATGCCACTCCTGTGTCCAGTAGAGTATCAAGTGCAGTAGATGTGGCGGGCTCACCCAGATATGACAGTGGCTTTGGTTTGTTCACTTGCTACAGTTTGACCTGTATGATAACTGAGGTTATGTACTCAGCTCTGTACTGTTACTGATGTACTCTGCTCTGTACCGTTACTGATGAACTCTGCTCTGTACTGTTACTGATGTACTCAGCTCTGTACCGTTACTGATGTACTCTGCTCTGTACCGTTACTGATGAACTCTGCTCAGTACCGTTACTGATCGACTCTGCTCTGTACCGTTACTGATGTACTCTGCTCTGTACCGTTACTGATGTACTCAGCTCTGTACCGTTACTGATGTACTCTGCTCTGTACCGTTACTGATGTACTCAGCTCTGTACTGCTACTGATGTACTCAGCTCTGTACCGTTACTGATGTACTCTGCTCTGTACTGCTACTGATGTACTCAGCTCTGTACTGCTACTGATGTACTCAGCTCTGTACCGTTACTGATGTACTCAGCTCTGTACCGTTACTGATGTACTCTGCTCTGTACCGTTACTGATGTACTCTGCTCTGTTACTGATGTATTCTGCTCTGTACCGTTACTGATGTACTCTGCTCTGTACCGTTACTGATGTACTCTGCTCTGTACCGTTACTGATGTATTCTGCTCTGTACCGTTACTGATGTACTCAGCTCTGTACCGTTACTGATGTACTCTGCTCTGTACCGTTACTGATGTACTCTGCTCTGTACCGTTACTGATGTACTCTGCTCTGTACCGTTACTGATGTACTCAGCTCTGTACTGCTACTGATGTACTCTGCTCTGTACCGTTACTGATGTACTCTGCTCTGTACCGTTACTGATGTATTCTGCTCTGTACCGTTACTGATGTACTCAGCTCTGTACCGTTACTGATGTACTCTGCTCTATACTGCTACTGATGTACTCAGCTCTGTACCGTTACTGATGTACTCAGCTCTGTACCGTTACTGATGTAATTGACACTCTTACCCTTAGTACAGTTTTCAGCCAATATGGATTCTGTGTCAAAATAAGTCCCCAGTGACCTAAGCTTTTAATTGAAGGTGACTTTCTGGATCTTGTTGTCGGTCTGAGTGGCTGGCTTGATTGTTAGTCAACGTGCAAATGCCATATGTGAAATTATTACTTTTTTCCGTGTAATTAGAGTAATCGTTAACTCAGTATCAATTTTAAGATATCTGACAAACAATGAGGTGATTATCGACTTACTGCCAAATGTCTAATTCCATCTTAGTTAGAAAATTTTGTTCAATGATTTTCAGAACATCGGGATATGCTTGGCGAAGGCTCAATTGACACAATGTTGAGGGAATACCCCTGGTTCCATGGGACACTGTCTCGGGCAGAAGCTGCTCAACTGGTCCTGCAACAAGGTCCTATAGGACATGGCGTGTTCCTCGTCCGGAAGAGTGAGACCCGGACAGGAGAATATGTCCTCACATTCAACTTCCAGGGTAGAGCCAAGGTAAGGATGACTCAGCATGTCCTACTCCTCAGGACCCTGAGATTTCCGGGTACCTAGTACCCCATGCTTGTCTCCCTGTGTGGAGTCGGGGTCGGAGAAGGTCCCCAGCTCCCCATCTTTGTCCCGCTGTTGGGATTCAGGTTACCCAGTACCCCATGCTCGTCTCCCAGCTTGGAGGCAAGGTCCCAAGCAACCTGTCATTGTCTCTGTTAATATGTGCCAAGATATTTTCAGGCTGCCTTGAATACTTCTGACTACACCATGAATTAATATTCAATCCTCATACCTTGATGAGTCTGACTAAGATTTTGTCAGCAGAGCCATATGTGTGAAAGATGTTCACCTGAAAGGGTTGGTTGTTGCCTGTAGTCAACAAGGCTAATGTAATGGATGTTATTTCCATGGACTCTTTGATACTGAAGTAACAGTCCCTACCACATGTCAAAAGGTAGTTAATCACGACTTCAGGCACTGTATAGGTGTGAGTGAGTGAGTGAGTGAGTGAGTGAGTGAATGAATGAATGAATGAGTGAATGAATAAGGTTACCATCGGTAGTGTGAATAAGTGTCATTTATTTTGTCTATTTTCATTCTAAGGAGTAAGACAATAATTGTGTGTTTGCAGAAGTCAAACATTGATCGTCATGGGATGAACAAGAGACTTTTTCAAAATCCTCACTTAAATTCTGACATTGAATTTAGTGTTTGCAATTGACCTAATTGGTGCTACAACAGGTTGTGTAGAGTTGTAGGACCCTAGGTCTGTCATATACTGATGGAAAGAAATAAGGGAACATTTAGTTTTAGACACAGTAAAATGATATGCTGTCGTGGGTTCTACCAAATACATGCAATTCGTAACATTTGATGCTGACAAATGTATGCACACATTTCAAATATACTGACAATAAAGTTTGTTCCCTTTGTATTTATTGTTTCCCTTGTTCGCGTCCATCAGTATATCTATAACCATGCAGAATGGTAACATCTACCAATATCTGCATCATGTTGGCCTTTCAACTATAATCTGACACTGTCATGTGAGTGAAATTGAACCTGGTTAACTCTTGAGTGACATGGGTGGCCCACATGGGAAGCATCACAATTTGCTGTACAGAGTTGTGTCCCTTGTACCCCTTTTGTGAATCCACAAACATAACATCATTTTGGGCTTTCCTCCACATCATTCTGAAATAAAGCAGTGTTTAACCACACTCACTCACTCTTTGTGTTTGTATTTTTCAGCATTTACGGATGACAATTAACAATGAAGGACAATGCCGAGTACAACATCTGTGGTTTCAGACAATATTTGACATGTTGGAGCATTTCCGAACACACCCTATCCCATTGGAATCAGGAGGGTCATCAGATGTTACCTTAACGGACTATATTGTTGCCATGGAGAGGCCACGTACACCTACAACCTTGCCGCGGGGATCACCAAGATCACATGGGAATGCAGGAGGGATAAGAAATTCTTTATCAGCACATCATGGTCATTTTGACAATAATCGTGACATCGTTGTGATAAGTGGTTCTGTGAGGTCAAGGACATCATCCATTGAGAATGTTGTGCGGGAACAGGCGCAGGGCTCACAGCAACAGTTATCTCATGGCCGAGCGGTGGAGAATCACTACTCGTTTGTGTGATTTGGATTCACCAGCCAGTTGTTATATGGCACAGTTGGAGTTAACCTTTGGAGTCCTCAATCCAGATGCTTGGTTCAGCTTCCACAAGCGGTGGTACAACTACCATTCTGCCTGGCCTGTGTAATGCGCAGCTGCTAACATATTCATAGCACAAAGCGAACATGGTGTGACAACTTTTGTAGGTCTGAGGTATTTATGGGACTATAGCTTAGACGTGGAAGAATATTTAGGTGTTTTAGCTTTGTGGAACTGTCTTCATGACAGTGGCGTTCCAGGACAATACTGAGGATTCATGTTGTCTCCAGTACCATGACATACAAGCTGCAGCGAATCTGGAAATAACTGAACAAAGGTGAACCTGTAGCCCTAGCAACTGAGTAGATAGAGAAGTAAAACAAGGACTTGACATTTTCAGAAACATAAACAGGGTGAGAGAACCTGAAGTGAACCCACTCCATTGTGTATCCCAACTCATTGGGGCACAGTTGCATTCATGTAACGTTTTGAGAACAATTTGAAGCCCATGTTCTACTGAGTATATATATATGTTGATGATGTGCACCTGTTTTCATGCATAGCCGGCAATCTTTTTCTAATTTATTGAGAAGTCTAAAGGTTATGGTAATCCCATTTTTATCTGATTGTTTATGTGATATTCATATTGCATTGATAACTCACAGCAAGAATTTTACTGTGTACAGGTTGAGTTATGTCAATCGTGATAAAAACGTTATGAACATAGGCATCTTTAAATCTTTTATATATTTTAAATTATCCAAGTTCCTACCTGTTCAAGGCTTTCAGTATTGCTGTTTAGTTTTAGCATGTAGTCATAGTCTATTCATCAGGTCGTTGTCAATCTAAACAGAAGAACTCATGCAACTTTTTGTGAAGGAAAGTTTGGAAAGGTACTCTATACAGTGGTTATCATGCTGCTAACCCCTGGGCATGTCCGGAAGCTATTATTGTAGGTTCGAATCCCAGTTTCTAGGTTTGTCAGCACTAGAGTCATGCTTGTGTGTGTCACCAAAGTGGTAAACATCTGCATCACTTTAGGCTTTCCTCCCACATTAAGCTGATGATATAATTAAGTCATGGTATACAGTAAACTACGTTTATAATGAATTGACAGATATAACACTGTTTTTTGGTCCCGTCCATTTGCTGTATATATGCTTATAACGAACTATGGTTATATGAACTAAAATGAGTGGTCCCCTTGAGTTTGTTATAACCGTAGTTTACTGTAACTGTTAATTGTTTTGCTAAACCAAACTCACTCAGTGCATGTGGTTTTTCTGGTTGACCTCCAGCAGTGTCTCCTATTTACAGTATTATGCATGACTCCTCACCTCATAGGGCTTTAATTTTATGTCATACTCTAAAAAGTATTTATTTTCAACAGAAGAAATTAATTTTGCCCCCAAAACAAAGAAATATGAAGACAATAATAATGGTATCCAAGGTAACTTATACCTCCTGAAAATGTTGGGGCAAGGATGGGCAGCAGGGTCCCTCAGGATTTGCTGTTGACGATTGCCGATTCATCCTGACTGTGGTCCTTGATGTGTCCGCGCCAGCCCAAGGTGGTGAGCCCCCAAGACCAACATCACATTTGACGTTCCTCTATTACTGCAATAGTGTTCGATCTAAAACTGGAACAGAAGGGTGAGTTGGGTTTAAGTGTAGACAGATGCAATATGTATGGCTTGTAGCTCTCGTTATTTAACACGTCCGATGGATTTAATATCACCTTTGCCGCATCTTCTGTTTTCTATCTAAGCTGTGTTAGTTGATTTTTTTGCATATCTGTTTTATATTTGCTTAAACTCAGGTTTTCCCCATAACATGTAATATGGTTTCCATGGTAACACAAACTGATCTTTGATTGGCTAAGGGAACTTAATGATGGTGGTGAATTTATGCAAAAACCTTTGTATGACAGATTAAGAGGTTAAGATGATAACTTGTCTGCAGTGTTTCTCTGTATCCATCATATGTATCAGAAGATCATGCTGTTTTGTTAATAAATATCTTGATCACATTTCACTGAGATATTGCCCTTACTTCAGATGAAAGTCATGAAACTACTTTATTGTTTGGAGCAATGTTTCTGGGCTCGCCCATACCTAATTCAGCTGATTATCCTGATGAAGGGGCAAGACGTAGCCCTAGCCATAAAAGGTTACTGGTCTTCTAAATATAAAAAAACCCCATCTTACTTGTGTAAGGGTTAATTTTTGTGTCAAATTGAATAACATGCAAGATCCTTCAAGCAGTGTTTATGTATAGATGTCATGAAACAGTTGATGAACCTCGTGTTTACAATATTTTATTTTTTCTTGATTCTTATGCCTTCTGTTAAATCCAGAATGGCAAATGTGTATTACTGTTTAGCAAGTTTGAATATTTGATCCACAGAGATTTCTCATTTTTATGAGATAATGTTATACATATATATAGGATTTAGATATACTTCTTCATGAATTCCCACTCACATAATGTATTGTTGTCAGACACAGTGGTATCACTAGTTGTTACAGCACAGCACACACGGTTTTAGAGATTGTGAGAAATGAAATTGGAACTTTGATTTTAAGATATTTTTTGCAGTTTCTAAATTGATTGGACAACCAACCTGTTTTACATGGGAATTAATCTATTAACCAAGAAGAAAGCAGATACAAAGCTTAGTATGCCATTAAGATGATGTGATTCAGGGGTCGATTATCTGGTGTATTTACGATTGATAGATTCTGACAGAGAAGGTGATGTCACTCCCATTACAATCTATTGGCACAGAAGTTCTCTCACTCTTGAGCTGGAACTGAATAACTTATCAAAGGGACTCTTCTGAACCAGAGTTTGGAATAGATATAGACACAATTGACTCTTTGGAAAGTATTTGTTAAAGTAATGGAGTTTAATCAGAAGATGATCTTGAGGGGAGGGAATCAGGATTAATTTCTGTCCATTTCTTCCTGGAGTTTGGATGATCATATACATTTGTTATTGCTGTGATCAAACCTCCATGATGTTTTAACAGTTACACAATGTTTTTTGCTCACTTTGTGATTTAATAATGGAATATGCTCACCTGTGTGGCTTTTAGCTCCAGTATTGGTATATTTAAGACTTGCCAGTTTCTTCTGCTAAGTTTTGCTAAAAGGAATCACAGATGATTGAGAAGCTTGGTGTTGAATATTGTGCTCAGAAGATATTTATGATAAAATAATAATTTCTTTATTTTGTGAATCACGTATGTTTAGCATTAATTTAAAACATTACAACCTCAAATGATTAAGTATTTTTTCTAATATCACCATTTCAGGATATGCCGTGTTTCTGACACAAGCCATGCTTTGAGGCAGATTAGGAATCTAGTTTTTCATGATCAGTTGTTTCACAATGCCAAAATGCATAATTTATCAAGGGCCAATCCTGGATTTTTCAAAAGAGTGTCTGTATTTTGTGATTTCATGACAGATCCTGGATGATTGATAATAATGATTCATGATAAATATATAGATGTTTCCCTTTATTCAAACTTAATGCAAATATATGGTGAATGAGCTCAGTAGGACAGAATAATTTCATTAGTGTTCAACTGCATATAAGATTAAAGGAGAGCTGAGTGTTGTTGTGCATGTTGATATGTATACTCAACGCTTTACTGAAAGTCCCACATCACCTGCAGGAGCCAATTTGTGATATATTATCAAATATCAACATTGTAATATAATGGTGCTTAACTTTTGTTGAGGGGTATATACTGCATGCATATATCACAGACATTTCATGAAGTCAGTATGAGTCTTCCTTTTCATCAAAATATGTAATTGTCCCATTATGGTCACCCATATTCATGTTCGCCTATGGTCTGGTGAATACAGTGATGAAAAACTATGGACACAAACAGGACCAAATTCAATCATCAAATTATGAACAGTATTTTCTGCATATTTGTCAACCAATCACACTGTATTTTGGATCCTCAATCTTAAATTATGGACAGGCTTTTGGATGTTTGAGGACAACAGACTGGTGGTTTGTTTCATGTACAGCTTTGATATCATCAAATTGTAAAACATTTCTGAGCTAATTCTGATGTCCCTCTTATTGATTCAAGCATGATCATTAATTAAGTTTAGATGTTCTTTAACTTTTAATAATTATCTCCCTTTACAAGATTTCTTTACAGGGGTTGTAGAGTTCACCTGGAACTCGTGATACTGCTGGAAACAGCTTTGACTTCAGTTCCACTGTATTTTGCTGGATATCGAGAGAAGTGGAATGTTTTGAATCAATACATTTCCTGTCATCTGTACGAGACAGGAAATAAAAGTTTGAAGTGTTCAGAACAGTCAGTATCTTTTGCAATCATCATCTTATCAAAGGGATGGGTGTGAAAGTGTCTATACTACAGGATACGCATGTCAGGTTTCAGTGTTGTATTGATTATGTATTCAGAAGAAAGAGGTTCTTGTGAATATGTTGTTTACACTGTCCAGAATACAAAGAGATCTGCTCTAAAGAATACATCATTATAGAGTCAATGTATTCAATGAAAGAAAAGTGTTTACCAGCATGATGTGGTGGAGCTGGCGTCACATTTTTGCCATATCTAATGCAATGTTCTGCGTTGTGGGTCCCTGCTTGATGTGTGAAGAGAGAGACTGGCAATAGCGTTGTACATAGAGGTGGTGTGTCTGGGAGAGCGATAGAAACTCTGAATATTTGTACATAACATGCCTGTCACGTGATGAGTAAATGTTGATAAAAATCACCTGGTGTCTGTTTTGTCTAAACACAGATGTTAGTCCGACCAATGTTGTGTCCTGAACTTGAGTTTTGTTTCTGGTTAGGACATTTGTCTGTGCAGAGTTGCTTCCCTTGGGTGTGTCAGAAGCCCATAATAACTCCCAGATTCACCAGAGGTTTTTCACCATACGCATGTTCTTGGGTAACTGTGGTGTAAATGTTATTTTATTGATATCATTTGTCAAATTTATTGACAAAACCCATACCCAGTAATAGCATATTGAAAACAGCAGATGATTAAAAACAACCTCAGGGAAGTTCCAAATGTCAATCAACGATTACCTCAACTGAGCGAGTGTTACCGGCTGGTTCTGGCTTTGTTGTAAGCGTCATTCCATCTCATCCAAGACATGTTCAATGGGGGCGAGGTCTGGAGTACCCCCCGACAATGGCAGTAACTTTATGCTGCCTTGCAAACTCTGTAATTCATAACACGAACAGGATCTTATACCACCATAACACGAACAGGATCACACACCACCATAACACGAACAGGATCCAAAACCACCATGACATGAACAGGATCACACACCACCATAACATGAACAGGATCACACATGACCATAACACGACCAGGAACACACACTACCATAACACGAAAAGGATCAGACCCCACCATAACATGAACAGGATCAGACCCCACCATAACACGAAACAGGATCAGACCCCACCATAACATGAACAGCATCACACACCACCGTAACACGAAACAGGATCACACATGACCATAACATGAACAAGATCACACACCACCATTACACGAACAGGATCACACATCACCATAACACGACCAGGAATACACGCTACCATAACATGAACAGGATCACACACCATCATTACAGAAACAGGATCACACACCACCATAACATGAACAGGATCACAAACCACCATAACATGAACAGGATCACACGCCACCATAACATGAACAGGATCACACATGACCATAACATGAACAGGATCACACCCCACCATAACATGAACAGGATCACACGCCACCATAACATGAACAGGATCACACGCCACCATAACATGAACAGGATCACACGCCACCATAACATGAACAGGATCACACGCCACCATAACATGAACAGGATCACACCCCACCATAACATGAACAGGATCACACGCCACCATAACATGAACAGGATCACACATGACCATAACATGAACAGGATCACACACCATCATTACAGAAAAAAGATCACACATGACCATAACATGAAGAGGACCACACACCACCATAACACGAACTGGATTACACCCCACCATAACACAAACAGGATCACACGCCTCCATAACATGAACAGGATCACACACCACCATAACATGAACAGGATCACACCCCACCATTACAGAAAAAAGATCACACACGACCATAACATGAACAGGACCACACACCACCATAACACGAACTGGATAACACACCACCATAACATGATCAGGATCACACACCACAATAACCGGAACAGGAACACACACCGTCCTAACGGGAACAGGATCACACACCACCATAACATGAACAGGATCACACACCACCATAACATGAACAGGATCACACGCCACCATAACATGATCAGGATCACACCCCACCATAACGCGAACAGGATCACAACCCACCATAACACGAACAAGATCACACACCACCATAACATGAACAGGATCAAACACAACCATATCATGAACAGGACCACACGCCACCATAACATGAACAGGATCACACGCCATCATAACACGAAGGGGATCACATTCCACCATAACATGAACAGGATCACACGCCACCATAACATGAACAGGATCACACACCATCATTACAGAAAAAAGATCACACACGACCATAACATGAACAGGATCACACACGACCATAACATGAACAGGATCACACGCCACCATAACATGAACAGGATCACACGCCACCATAACATGAACAGGATCACACACCATCATTACAGAAACAGGATCACACACCACCACAACACAAACAGGATCACACACCACCATAACATGAACAGGATAACACGCCACCATAACATGAACAGGATCACACGCCACCATAACATGAACAGGATCACACACCATCATTACAGAAAAAAGATCACACACGACCATAACATGAACAGCATCACACACCATCATTACAGGAAAAAAGGTCACACACGACCATAACACAAAAAGGATCACACACCACCATAACACTAACAGGATCACACGCCACCATAACGCGAACAGGATCATATACGACCATAACACGAACAGCATCACAAATCACCATAACACGAACAGGACAACACACTACCATAACATGAACACGATCACATGCCACCATAACATGAACAGCATCACACACCACCATAACATGAACAGGATCACACGCCACCATAACACGAACAGGATCACACGCCACCATAACGCGAACAGCATCACACACCACCATAACACGAACAGGATCACACACCACCATAACGCGAACAGGATCACACATGACCATAACACGACCAGGACCACACACTACCATAACATGAACAGGATCAGACCCCACCATAACGCGAACAGGATCACACACCACCATAACACGAACAGGATCACACACCACCATAACATGAACAGGATCACAAACCATCATAACATGAACAGGATCACACACCATCATTACAGAAACAGGATCACAGACCACCACAACACCAACAGGATCACACACCACCATAACATGAACAGGATCACACACCACCACAACATAAACAGGATCACACGCCACCATAACATGAACACGATCACACGCCACCATAACATGAACAGGATCACACGCCACCATAACATGAACAGGATCACACGCCACCATAACATGAACAGGATCACACGCCACCATAACACGAACAGGATCACACGCCACCATAACACGAACAGGATCACACGCCATCATAACATGAACAGGATCCCACGCCACCATAACATGAACAGGATCCCACGCCACCATAACATCAGGGTCACACACCACAATAACCGGAACAGGATCAGACCCAACCATAACATGAACAGGATCACACGCCACCATAACACGAACAGGATCACACGCCACCATAACGCGAACAGGATCACACACCACCATAACGCGAACAGGATTACACATGACCATAACACGACCAGGACCACACACTACCATAACATGAACAGGATCAGACCCCACCATAACGCGAACTGGATCACACACCACCATAACACGAACAGGATCACACACCACCATAACATGAACAGGATCACACACCATCATTACAGAAACAGGATCACACACCACCACAACACAAACAGGATCACACACCACCATAACATGAACAGGATCACACACGACCATAACATGAACAGGATCACACGCCACCATAACATGAACAGGATCACACGCCACCATAACATGAACAGGATCACACACCACCACAACATAAACAGGATCACACGCCACCATAACATGAACAGGATCACACGCCACCATAACATGAACAGGATCACACGCCACCATAACACGAACAGGATCACACGCCACCATAACATAAACAGGATCACACGCCACCATACCATGAACAGGATCACACGCCACCATAACATGAACAGGATCACACACCACCATAACGCGAACAGGATCACACATGACCATAACACGACCAGGACCACACACTACCATAACATGAACAGGATCAGACCCCACCATAACGCGAACAGGATCACACACCACCATAACACGAACAGGATCACACACCACCATAACATGAACAGGATCACAAACCATCATAACATGAACAGGATCACACACCATCATTACAGAAACAGGATCACAGACCACCACAACACCAACAGGATCACACACCACCATAACATGAACAGGATCACACACCACCACAACATAAACAGGATCACACGCCACCATAACATGAACACGATCACACGCCACCATAACATGAACAGGATCACACGCCACCATAACATGAACAGGATCACACGCCACCATAACATGAACAGGATCACACGCCACCATAACACGAACAGGATCACACGCCACCATAACACGAACAGGATCACACGCCATCATAACATAAACAGGATCACACGCCACCATAACACGAACAGGATCACACGCCACCATAACATAAACAGGATCACACGCCACCATAACATGAACAGGATCACACGCCACCATAACATGAACAGGATCACACGCCACCATAACATGAACAGGATCACACGCCACCATAACATCAGGGTCACACACCACAATAACCGGAACAGGATCAGACCCAACCATAACATGAACAGGATCACACGCCACCATAACACGAACAGGATCACACGCCACCATAACGCGAACAGCATCACACACCACCATAACACGAACAGGATCACACACCACCATAACATGAACAGGATCACACACCACCATAACGCGAACAGGATCACACATGACCATAACACGACCAGGACCACACACTACCATAACATGAACAGGATCAGACCCCACCATAACGCGAACTGGATCACACACCACCATAACACGAACAGGATCACACACCACCATACCATGAACAGGATCACACACCATCATTACAGAAACAGGATCACACACCACCACAACACAAACAGGATCTCACACCACCATAACATGAACAGGATCACACACGACCATAACATGAACAGGATCACACACCACCATAACATGAACAGGATCACACGCCACCATAACATGAACAGGATCACACACCACCACAACTTAAACAGGATCACACGCCACCATAACATGAACAGGATCACACGCCACCATAACATGAACAGGATCACACGCCACCATAACATGAACAAGATCACACACCACCATAACATGAACAGGATCGCACACCACCATAACATGAACAGGATCGCACACCACCATAACATGAACAGGATCACACGCCACCATAACATGAACAAGATCACACACCACCATAA